TTTATTATTTCAAAAAGCATTTATAACCATATTTGGTTTTATAAGTTGTCCCCAATTCATATTGGACCCGCATGACAGACTGCCAGAGGTCTAAACCCTCTTTTTAAAGAGACTCGTGCACAACAATGGGACATATAATAGAGAATAAGTTGAGAATAATGCTCCATATTTTGTATACATAAAATTAAGTTAGTTTTAGTAGCAGTAAAGCTTCTTAAGTTCGTCCAGGGAAGTACTGCTGCGTTACCTGTTTCTGTCGCCATGCAGTAATGTTAGCATTACTGTATTCCACTTTTGAAGAGTAATGGTGCTAATCAAATTGCGGCCACATTGGCCTTGTCAACTTATATTTCAGGATAATTCTTCAGGATCTTTATGATTTAAACCTTTGAGTGGTGTAGTGTCGGTAATAGCGTGTTCATATTTGGCTCGCCTGTGCACCACCACGTGCCTCCGGGTTGACAGTCGAACACGACAGACCCCTTCCACGCACGCACATGTGACTTATGCGCTCAAGAGAAATCATAGACACTTCACATACACTGCAAGTGGCATTGTACTGTTATGGATACCACCAGGCGCACGACTTGCTTGTCCCTTGGTATCATAAAAAAATACACTAGGTACTGTGTAAACATTGAGTCGTTTGACAACCGTAATGCGCTGTCGTATATGTAATTACCATCGGACTACTCAGTCGCTCTCGGCGATAAACTGTCGACCAAACTAATTTCAACGTATCGGCAGCGGCGTCCCACCACGATGGAGTCGGAGATACCTACCTATCCGAACAGTTTATTGAAAGTTTCGAACGATTTGTTGTATCTCTGTGCCTAAAGTTGCATTAAATGATTTAGTGGTTTATAAATGAATGAAGGCGGCAATCGCCTTGGTATAACCAGCATATAGATTGTACCGTCTTCGTCAAATGAACTCACTTGTCGAAAAGGCTGCAGTCGACTCGGTGTAAACAGCGAGTCGACTGCGCCAAATTGTACATTGACTGCGCTCCTTCGGCAAGGCGAAGTAGTCTGCTGAAGGTCGCAGTCGACCCTGTGTAAACAGCCCAGTATAGATCACAGGTTAATTGAAGTTGGTAGATCAAAGCCACATTTTGTGTAAATCACATTTTGTAACATTCATGGAAAGTCTCAAGGAAATTATAATGCATATGCAGGAATATATATTGAAATAATAAAAATAAAGGCAAATAAATTACTAAAAAATTCATTTTTTAATACTGTTAAAATTCAACAATACAAAACATAAGAAATATAGACTGTACATAATGAAATAATGAGTAACAAATACAACTTTGTGGCATAAGATAGACATCTATTTAAAAATAAATGCACAAATTCATTTAAACACATAATTATAACTGGAAGTTATCGTACAAAAGAACATTCATTCATTTTAATTAATGTTACATTTTAATTGAAAAGCTCATTTCGGTGCTTAAGCTTAATTTTGCGTTCATACATGATTATGCTTCTACAGTTTTTTTTTTTCATGAATAAATATGTGTAGTAAGAGAGAAAGTACACCTAATAACTAATCACTCTCGCACTTATACTAATTAGAGATCTATTATGACATCTTACATAGGAGTGGATCCTATTTGCGTTTTACTAAAACTGAAAACTAGGTCGAAAAAATTAGAGCACTATATATCTTAAAAAAAACGCTTATTGCATTATTCACAAGTTGCGAAAATTAATTTTATCCAGTCTGACTTATAACGAATACAAACCTGACAGTATTAGTGACACTCTCTAAAGTATTAAAATGTGTGAGCCCGCAGTATTCCAAACGGTACTTGCAACAATTTCAGTTCATTTAATAATAGTTGACAGTAAAAAAGCCAGCAATGTTTTTAATTTATAATTATTATCTTTAGTAAAACGCTTACAACATCTTCACCAAATCATTATTATACAAAAAGTTCCTCTAGACTTCTACAGCATCTGGGAAGATGTGATCCAAATAGGCCTGATTGCAAAAGCTTTGCAGTGGTTTGGGACGTTTCTTCTTCGACGGCAATACGTTCATACTATCTCTATTAAACTTTGAGGCAATCTCTTTAACTTTTCCAGGCTTTGGTTTATAATCTTCGTCAACGAAATCCTGCTTAACATTGTTCGGGGCATCAAATTCTTCAAACGAGCGTTCCCTCTCTTTCTCTCTAACGACTTTCCTGTTAGTGTCTCCTCTTCGACTACGGTTTGAAGCTCTTTTGACGTCCTGCTTTATATTATTATCTTTCCGGTCTTTCCTCCCAGAGTTGTTCCTCTCATACATTTTAGAATAATTCTTTGAACTTCTATAATCATTAGTATTTACATTATCGCCTCTCGCTATCCCAAAATACGGGTCTTTTGTATATTCTATGTCATTGTTAGTCTTGCAAACGTAGCTTTGATTGTTTGCGTGGTTATTCCGATCACCTCGATTGGATCGCCTGGCTTTAGGCGGTCCTTGTTTAAAGGTGGAAAACCGATTTTCATTAAAATCGTTATTGTTAATCTCGTGTGTGATATTTGGTTCCGAAGAGAGCGTTCTTTGGTGCGTCAACGGTTTGGACAGCGATAGGTACTTAGGCGGTTCTCCGTGCTTATTAATCGTTATCTCATATTGTATATGCGGGTCTAGAACCGCATATACATTTTCTTTGGCTTCTCTTTCCAGCGACGTAAGTGCTGCCTGGAAAAAGAGAGACTAGGTTAGGATGTCTTTTCCAAAATTATAACCAACAGCGTGGCTGTAATGTCTTGGTATGAAACACTAGCACCAAGTGGCTCATTTGTGGCATCTAACGTCATCTTTGTAAATTCTAACATCTGAACATTGATTAGAAATTAAAAAATAATATTCAGTTCATAAATATTACGGCTAAATACGCACGCAAGGAAATAAAGTAAACAGAAAAGAGTGGTCAATGTTGGAATAGGTAGAGAATGGTGGTATAAGGCTAATTAAAAATAATATGCGTGATGAAGAAATATAAAAAAGGAACTAAATGATTAAAACTTTCAAAAACCACAACCATACTTATACTAAGAGGTAAGTTATGAATCAAGATCACTTAAAGTAAGAAAACTCAAAAACATCACAAAATCGAAAAAGAAACAATTGAAAATAAAACTGTGGAAATAAAATAAAGTGTAGTGCAAACAAACTCGTAGTAAGTTAATCCGAAACCGAGCAAGGCTGGGTGCGCACTTTTGGTAATTAAACGCCCGTGGATCATGCTGATACATAATAGCCTAAACGTATTAGAACGCGTTACGGTTATCGTCAAGGTTTATTGGCTGCGAATGGCTAATAAAATGTAAGGTTTTGATAGTACAATATTAACACAAGTAACAAAAATAAGCTAGCTGTTTCTTAACAGTCGTATCCACAAAGACACAAATTCATTTACATTAATATGTATTTTCTACGCTTTTCAACTAAGGCTGAGATTTGTAAAACGAACCAAAGATGGCGAGCTAAGTAAGTTTTTAGTATTTACAATACGAACTTTGCCTAAGTTTAAGCAAGAAATTAAATTAGACTGAGTTTACTTCGTAATTTCTTACTTATTTCTGCCGACATTACTACGTTCGGGTTTTGAAGGGTAAGTGTGCTGGTGGAATTACAGGCACATGGGATTTGTCAACTTATGTTCCAGGATATTAGTTTCATTCAGTATTTTTTAACCGACTTCAAAAAAGGAGAAGATTCCCAATTCGACTGTTTTTTTATATGTTACGTGATTACTCCATAATTTGTGAACCAAATTTGATGATTCTTTTTCTTTTGGAGAGACCTAGTATTGGTCCCATTTAAACCACCACCTCTAAAGGTTGTCCTTCGTACTTTCCGTTAACCGTGTACATCAAAACTTGGCAAATAGATGTAATTCCAATAAAAAAGTGGATGGAGGTCTGTTCAAATCAAGTTTTCTCAACAACAAACAACAAACAAATAGTCAAAGAAGGCGATATACCGTTGAGATACAGATACAGATGAGAACGAGATACAGATGAGGCAAATCAGGCCCTGACAAACTTATTTCAGGATGACGACGATCGCTCTGTCAATAGTGCTACTAAATAGTACAAGATACTCTTGTAACCTTCTTACACTAACATCACAGTACATTTATGAAAATGTTATTTACGTTAAGAAAAATATTTTTATCGATACATTATTAAAAAGACAAACTACAGTGTAGTACAGAGCGTCTATGAGAAACAAGTTTAAGGAAATTAACATATATTAGCGTCACAGTACATACATTTATGAAAATGTAATCTATGTTAAGAAGAATGGTAATATTTTTATGAAAAATAGTGACAGACATAACATTAATACGAGGAATAAAAATAAACTAGATGCTTTTGACAGTCGTCTTCACAAACACTCAAATTCATTTAAGGGTCAATGTATACGCTTCTATAATAAGATCCCGATTGATATACATTTGCCATTTAGTAGGTTTAAAACTAATGTTACACTAAAGGTTATTCGTGGTAATTTTACCCGTTTAGCTCTTGCTAGTAGTCTCGATCTAAGATGTTTAAATTAGATATTGTAATGATAAATGTATTCAAATGTATGTTTACAAAGAGCAACCCCTAAAGTTTCTTGCTCATTCTTTTCAGGGGAGTCTGCCTTACGAATGAGCAGCAGAGTTCTATCAGTATGACGATATCACGTCTTTAATTAATTTGATTACTAATAAAACAAAGATTATTTGACTTGAACTTTGACTTAACCAGCTATTATGTGAAAGTACAACGAATCATTGTATATATCGCACTGCTATTACAATAGTGTTGTAACTTCTGGATAAAACAGTCTTAATAAGTAAGTTTCTAAAAAATTAAGTTAATTAAGTTGTTTTTTCGTTTTCTTTGACAAGTAGGAAATTGTTTAGACGTCTGTAATAAATTAACTTTATCCTTTACATAAATTTTAATAATATTTGGCTGGAAGTAAGTAATTTGTTTTTCATCGATTCTGAAAAATACACTTTTTGAGTTGATACACTATTGTTCTAACAGTGCGATATATGCATACTATCAAGCCCATCTTACATTGGGGTGGAAATGACACTATGGATCGCCAATCTCTTTAGAAAAATTCCCTATTCGTAACAGTTAGTTGTCCATTGTTTCTAAATACATATCGCACTTGACAACTAACATAGCATTATCTCAAAAATTGTGTTATATTAATAATTGATCTCCAAAATTTCGCTATATTTGTATGACATTCGTATACGATTTAATTTCAAAGTGACAGGACAACACTGTCGCTTTGAAATTAAATAGGGAATGTTAATGTAACCTAAAGCAATTTTGAGATAATACTATGTTAGTTGTCATATGCGATATACATTACTATACCAACTCGATTCACGAAAAAAGGAGTGCCCGTTTCATGAAATTGGGTGTTGGAGAAGTCCATAAAGTCAATTAACTGTTGTATTCATTTACACCTCGTCGTTTTAGTGCGAGTGTGGAGTTCATTCCGAGAATATCGGTCTCGAAATTTCGGGCGTTTCGTCGATATTTTAGCCTTTTTAACAATCGAGACAGAAGGGACAATCGAGACTTTTGAGACTTAAGTCACTCAATTAAATAATATCAAAAAATGTACTAAACCAACAGCCATTATTTTTTCTGAGTACATGGACATGGCAACAGTGTGGACTGAAATTTCGTATAATCTATGAAGATTGACAAACGATACCAATAAGATCAAGTTTTCTCTATCTGAAACTATGTATATCAAACGCCCTTTGTTGAAAAAAAAACTGTCATACTGTTTTATCATCATCATCAATCCATTTATACATCCCACTGCGGGGCACGGGTCTCTTCTCTGGCGAGGGGTCCGCAACTCTGGCCCAATGCGGGTTGGGGACTTCTCACGTTATGAACCTTCTTCAAAGTGCAGATCTCACCGAAAACCTCATAGTAAATTATTTTATAATTTCAGTCAATTTTGAACTTTATTAAGATATATTTTGACAGGCTAAATATATACCTATAAGTATGGAAGCCTATTTTACCCAGAAGCTTCATAATAAACCTACCATGTAAAGTTTTCTTGCACTATAGTTTTAAATATCGTAAATGGCAAATTTTGAATATCAACCGGAATCTTGTTTATAGAATCATACACATTGCCCCTTAAATGAATTTGTGACTTAGAGATGACGACTATCAAGAAAAGCTAGTTTATTTTTAATCCTCGTATTAATGTTATGTCTGTCACTATTTTTCATAAAAATATTACCATTCTTCTTAACATAGATTACATTTTCATAAATGTATGTACTGTGACGCTAATATATGTTAATTTCTTTAAACTTGTTTCTCATAGACGCTCTGTACTACACTGTAGTTTGTCTTTTTAATAATGTATCGATAAAACAATCGGCACTACATAACTATTTAAAATTTTATGAAAACTGGCAACCCTACAAGTGTCATTTTACTCCGTCTTCAAATAAGACAGACATTTTTTAATATACTAGAGCCATTTGGTGCAAAAATGAACTCCGATAACTTCCACCATCTATTCCGCCGCCGCGCCGTTAGTTGAAAGGGCGCTTGTGACAAAAACTCAAACCGAGAAATTAAATGTTTATTGAAATGAAATTGTAAAATATCTACTTTTGTCCTTGCGGTAACTTCATACCTAAGAAAAAAAATCAACCTCAAAAGTTCGTGGAATTACATCCATTTGCCAAGTTTTATTGAAATCGGTTGCCGGCAAGTGCGCGAAACCTGATTCAACCCCTAGTTAGCCACCCTTAGAGGTGGAATATTTTCTTCAAAGTGAAATGGTACCACTACTGAAATACCCTCTATCCAACAAAAAAAGAATCATCAAAATTGCTTCACAAATACCGCGGAGTTAACGTGTAACGTGCATACAAAAAAATACAGTTGAATTAAAAACCTCCTTTTTATGATGTCGGTTAAAAATAAAAATTGTGGCAGATCGACGTTTCTTTACTGATCACGACAGTATGCATAACAATTATTTTGAAAAAATGCACATGTACCCTTTCAACTAACAGCGGCAGCATTTGGCTCAACTGACACTGGCGCAGAGTCGGAGCGTCGCGACGCGTCATATTTTTCGCCTATAGCATATTCATGTCTATTATCCCATCATTAAGGTACAAATTTGTGTTATGCAAATATCAGAGTCAAGTGTCGACGCTTGGTTGCAGTCGAGCGGCTTCAGAGAGACGTCAGACGCCGACCACACTGTCCGGGCACACTAATGCGAGTGTCGTCGAGGTGCGACGCCAGGCGTTGTAGTTGAAAAACAGGACGCGACGCGATGCTTCGACTCTGCCCCAGTGTGAGTTGAGCCTTATAATATATCAATTAGAGCATGTTAGTAGAGTGCAGTCACACCTGTGCTTGTGTATCACACGGTGGTGGGGGGCTGCAGCACCACGGCGGCGCGGCGCACCTGCAGCGCTCCCGGCGAGTAGCGCCCACCGGGGCCCCCCGTATTTGCACCCCCCGGGGGCCCCGTCATAGTCCCGCCTACAGAAGGCCTCATTGATTCTCGTGGAGCGTATACTGCGTCCGCAGGTAGGACTGTCTTTTCGCTGTTGGAGAAATGTGTCATGTAGAAATAATGCTGTTATTAATTGTTCTACAGCTTTGTTGAGTTGAAATTATGTTGAACTTATGTATATAATCTACAAAAGGGAACTCACCTATCTAAATCATCAGTCTTGTATTCAACGCTTTCTGTGGACAAAAGATGCATAAGATGATTAACTGTGTCTCATAAAAAATCTAGTCAATGTTCTTACTGTGTCTCATAAAAAATCTAGTCAAGGTTCTTAACTATTCTGGAAAAATGGCGGGATTTTGTAGTCACAGTTATTACACAAGTAAATTTTTAGTTTAAGTATTATTACATTTACGAGTTTCTTAATTATTTGTCATCTGTTTAACAGTCGATACTACTTCAAATACCTAAATCAAATTTTTCCCGTACTAATACAGTGTCCCTGCTTCACACGCAAAACGAACCCATTTTGCTTGGGACGAGAAGCAGGGACACTGGCTTTATTTCAGAATGTATTCTTTTACAAACGAAACTAAAGACATTTGAAAAACGTATATCGTATACGTGTTCTATTTATATTTAGATATAAAAAAATCATTGGTATATGCAAACAATCTGTTGAATACAGCGGTTTTCTTGTAAAATTTCGAAGTAAGTTTGTGTTTTTTTTATATCGTGAAAATTTTTAGGAATAGTGTTTTTACACCGTACAGTAATCAGTGTATATCCTCGATTTTACTATATTTTTTTTCCAAAAAATTTATTCACCACCTTCACTGTTATGCGGAATCAACCAAAGCCATTTGAGGTTATGTAGACTCTTAGGGTCGTATTCTAGAACTCTACTCAATGCTCAAGTCAGGATTTCATACTCTCGAAATCATACTCAAGTCCCTGCCATTAGGGTCGTATTTTCAGTGCTTGTGTTGCCAGTGCAATCCTGACTTCAGCATTGAATAGAGTTCTAGATTACGACCCTTAATCTGATGGCTATATAGCCAATATTCAATAAATAAACAATTATTATTTCTATACTTCATAAGTATTTAAAAATTCTAACTGATCTTTCATTTCCAGTTGGACCAACAGAAGAAGCGAAGTAATTTGGTTTTAACTTAGATATCACATAAGTAATGCCATAAAAATTTATGTTATTGCTGTGGCATCCAAGTAATTACATAAATACATCTCACGCCCTGGGTAGGCAGAGCCTTCTACTTGCTACAAGCAGCAATGCTTTTCAGTTAAGGGCACTATTGAGCTGGCCTTGCTTTAGAGCGTCTTTGCAATTTGGTCGTAGTAAGTGTGCCTTGGTCGGCCCTCACCAACTTGCAAGTAATTTAGCAAAGTTTATTTATTAAAGTACAGAACAGCTGCTAATGCAGGGGAACCTTGGTGTTCGGCGGTGGGGTGTACATACAAGGATTAAGGTTTAGTGACACCCTTTATTAACGACTTTCGGGCACATTATGAGGAATGTCAATACGCAGCAGTACGAACGCACATACTACACATATGAATGTTTTTGTAAGACATTCGTCTTACAAGCGGCCGTACAAGGAAAAACTTAGTTAAGTTTATGTTATACTGGAATGTTTTGTTCTGTAGTGCTTTAAATGTAATAAATAAATAAAAAGCCATAATTGCTAAGAAGGAATAGTAGTTTATGATGACATAATGAAAGGCATGAAAATACGAATGTGGGTTTATGAAACAAGCCGACAGGCGAGTTTCATAAAAACATCTCACGAGTGTTTTAATGCCTAATTATGTACAGTTACATACATTGCTTTATCTATACACATATTATAAGCTCTCCACGATGTGTTCTGGCGCCTTACCATGAACTCTTATTACGATTCAGTTTAGGACTTAAAATGAATCGTTGTGAGACAGCGCTACATGAAGTGTATATCACCATCCCGCTTTGTTGTCGTTGCGAACCTATACTGAACTGTAATAAGAGTTCATGGTAAGGCGCCAGAAATCGCATGTTACGACTGGCGAAATGGCAGCAAATAAAAACTTTGCTCATAGTTTTTATTTTATTCACAAATAAACTAGAGTCGGCCCCAACTATCATATCGTTCGATATCAAGTAACGTGTGAAATTTGTCAATATTGGTTGCTATTGACATTTCATTTCGAACAAAACTTCATCTCGAGTGATATTACAATTGAGGTCCAATCAAATTGTTTTGTTTTTCAGAGATGTTCGAAATTTGAATGCAATAATAAAATCGAACTTGATATTATTTTTAAGCAATAGTAACATTTTCACAGATAAGAAAGTTGTTCTAACACAGCAGTTTATCTTTATGCTGGCCGTAATTTGCGGTTTTTGAACACATCGCAGAGGGTTTATGATATGTGTGTAGATAAAGAATAAAATGAAGACAAACCTCTTCGACGTCTGCACCGCAAGATGAGGCAAAGCACGATGACAAGCAGCGCGGCGAGCGCGAGGGCCCCGGCGATGAGGGGCGCCACGTGTGCCGTCTCTGTCAGCGAGAAATGCGAGTCTGGTGACAACAGTGTTAACTGGTTTACATGCCGGTTACGTTTAGTAAATTGCTTAGTCGTCTATGTTAGGCAGTTATATGATGACGGTACCCTAAAATCCGATATGTCGCAAGATGGTGTAATAGTTAACATGAATCATAAAAACTTTAGAATGCTGCAAAAATCACGTCTGTGTAATTACTTAGAATTACACAGGCAGTAAAATCATACCACGACTCACAAGGTTATAATTTATAACATTTTTTACGACTTGTTACAAGAGAACTGCGTTACAAAGTAACCAGCGCGATATTCCATTGTTCGATCCTTTAATATAGGTATAAGGACTGGAGTGCGACTCCAGATCATTCGATTGCTCGTCAGCAGTTCATCCAGTTGAACCATTGTCATTTAAGTCCTTTATATTTAATTGCTCGACACCTTTCAGTCTATTGGACCGTTGTCGTATAAGTTGTTTATATAAATACAGTTTTGTCTTATTGAAAAAGTATTTAAATTCTGTGAATCCTTCACCAAAACGTTACATCATCTCTACGAACTTTACACCCCATCATCTTCGTAACTAGAGGAGAACTCTCACACCAAAAGTATAAATGAAAGAATATATAAGTGACAAAAAATATTACTAGGTTTATTATGGTAAATAATACAAATTTTTTGGATCTCAATCGCGTACATTTGTTTTCATACATACCCTACGTTTTACCCTACCCTTTACAGATCTCATGGTCATGGCTGACTGAAATGTTTTTATTAATATGTTTTAATTTATTTGTAATGTTCTTTTAATTAATTAATTTTATTTATAAAAATTTACATTGTTAAAATATTTTTTTAATAATACCAAGTTTTTTATAAAATACTTTAGCGTGTTGTCCGTGATATGTGCCGCAGTCATCTACAATAATATTTAATATGTTTCAATTTTTATATACTGTGTAGATGACGACTGTGAATAACCTGTATATGTTTATGCTTTTTGTTATAAAGCATAAATAAATAAACAAAGTTATGGGACGAACAAGTCGTGCACCTGATGATAAGCTACACACCTGTCCATAACAGTTGCAGTGCCACTCAGAGCTTTTAAATCGCAAAGATCTGAGGGGCACTGTCACTGCGCCCATCACCCTGAGACATAAGTTGACAAGTCCCACGTGCCTGTAATTTCACCTGCACCCTTACCCTTCAAAACCAGATCACAGTAATGCTGACATTACTACTCGACGGCAGAAAGAGGTAAGGTGACAGTACTTCCCTGGACGAACTCTTTCACAAGGAGGGCTACCGCTACTAATAATGTATAACTTAAGTGTATGTACGTAAATTGAAATGTTCTTTGGTAAATTAAAAATAACTTATGTAAATATAGTAAAATAAAATTGGGTGATTGGTCAATATTAGGCATAACTGCGACCATGGAACCTGTAAAGGTCTGAAAAGTTGGTGGTGGAAAAACAAATATACGCAATTTAGATCCGAAAAAATAGTTCCATTTCCTACGTGTAACAATCGCGAAAACCTAAAAAAACGACAAAAGCTTTGTTGCTTGCTCATGCATTTCAATTTCTTTTGATTATAGTATGAAATTTCTCTATTAAATGGGCAAGTTAGGCAGTAAGGTTAAAATAGGGTCATCTAGTTTTGTGTTAAATTAAGTTAAGATTTCCTCCTAGTAAATGTTTATATTAGATTTTCTGTTTAGAAAATTTTATGACAATAATGTTTAATATAAATCCTTTAATTTGATCGAGTATTACGTATATGACAGCAGTTGTTTCGGACGGATGTCGGAAGAAGAACGAAGGAATTGTTTTTAGTGTCCAATCTTTGTATTAATAAAATTATAGCCTCGATTGGTAGTTTATACAAAAACATTATTGTATAGTAGTCAAGTTTCGTTCGTACTTACCATGGACAATGAGCGAGACGGCATGCGAAGAGAAGCCTCTCTCGTTCTCGACGTGGAGCACGTAGACGCGTGCGTCGGCCGTGCCCGTGTTAGACACCAGCAGCGTGTAACGATAGCATCCATTGGCGCCAGTCGGTTCCACTGCGCGGTAGCGCCCTGAGGATGAACAAGTATGGAGATAAAATGTAGCGATGGAAGGTGTGCGGTTTACTAAACTGTTTTGTAAAAAGTAATTAACTAAATTTTAGTTGTTGGATATGATGTTAGAATTATTTCCTATAACCTTGCAGTACTACATTATAGTCCTGCGAGGTTGTTAACCCTGTAATCATGTATAATAATTAACCATATAGTAGTACTGCTGGACATAGGCCTCCTCTCACAATGAGAGGGCTTGGGCTTTTTATTTATTTATTTATGAACAGTATGCACCATGGCATTACAGCAATTAAAATAGAATCACGATTTAAAAATAAAAAATAAAAGTAACTTCAAAATAAAATCAATGATTCGCCTTAACTTCTCTTCAATACTTTCATTACCATTAGCTATCTGATGCTGCGAGTACCACAGAACAATAAAAACAGTAGAAGTGCTTAGAGGGCAGGCCACGTGTGCCAACAGTACGCGTAGTTCCATATACTTGAGCTCTTTCCGCAATTTTCGTTTCGTACGTTATTGCCGTGTCAATTATCTTACATAAAACCCCGAAAATCGTGGATAGACATTTTGCTACTATGAAGTGCAAAAATTATAGTCGCACATGGAATATTATCTAAGTCAAAGTCAAAGTATTTATTGCTTCCATGTGTTACACAGATTATAAAATTTAAATAGTACCAACATGACTCTGTTAGGACGCCGCAATCAAAAGTATAATAAATTAAAAATAAACAATGAGAACATAAAACCAATAAAATAAAAAATAAAACTAACAATAAAAACTATAAAAAAAAATTAAAATCTAGCAATGAAAACAATGTATATATAGGTATTAATTATTCTTCAAATTAAATTCCAAAATTCAAATTCTTCAAATTACATTATTCAAATTATAGTCATTGTTCTTCAAAAAACTCTTGAGGCTGTATTAACTTTTTTTTATCAGATGCGCTTTAAGCTTTTTGGTAAATAAATTAGTATGTGATTGGGATGAAATTTCCTTTGTGATTCCATTAAAGATTTTAATTGCCATTACAAATGATCCTGTGCTGTGCATTTTTAATTTTGAGCTAGGTAGTGCCAGTCTATCTTCATGTCTGTTTAACGGTTTAGTGTAGGTGTGCCTTGCTTTAGTGAAGAAATTATGTTTGTTTTTGTTGACGAATTTGCATATTTCGAAAATGTACAGAGATGGTAAAGTGAAAAAAAAATTCAATTTAATGAAATGTGGTCTGCAGCTTTGCAATGGGTCGATGTTTACAAGCGCAACGCATCTGTCCTATTTCTCCACAGAATCACACCATAGCTCAGCCAAGCATGAGCATAAGCATAGTAAGCAGCTGTTGCTGTTCTATGATGGTGATTCATATTATTTTGATTAAAATTTCCATTTTCTGTTTATCGTAATAGATTTTTTGTTAAAAACGAAAGTAAAACTTATACTGCTGCAATATGTTCGTTCGTCGTCGTTGAATGAAATTTCAATATAAAATCCAAACGTGGTAACTTATACTAATAGATATGAACTTGCAACGAATGCCAACTGGATTAGGTTCAAATTATATTAACAATCCAGAATTTGTTATATCTTTTTGAATTAGATACCGACCAATAATTATCAATATTTCATAGTGTTTCAAATTATAAATGTGTGAGTTTTGCCGGCAGTGGTTCTGAAGGCAGACAATGGAAGTCCATTGTTTTTCTCCTCCGTGGTCGGTACAGTTTAGTGCGTGAAGGTACAGTTGCTAAGAGGGTTTACCTATACTATAGTATAAATAGTTGTATTACCGATCTGAGAAGGCACGTCGAGGCGCAGGCTGCCCCACAGCCAGGCGGCCCTCCGCGGCGGCGGGTCGGCGCACACGGTGGCGCTGACCTTGGCCTCGCCGCCGCTCCACGCGTGCGCGGACCCCGTCTCGGCCCCCACCGGGGGCCCCAGCACGTTCAGGGTCACCGGCTCGGATTGATGAGTTCTGGAAGGTAAGCTTACAGTTTCCACTCGCTCCTGTTGCTTTGTGCCAAAAACGTAAAAGGGTCTGTACAAGACTGCATTTATAAGTCCCATTGCAGGGCACAGATCTCGTCTCAGGCGCAGATTTAGCCTACAGTCCGCCACTTCGACCCATTTCAAGGGGGTTGTGAACCGTCTTCGACGTGCAGGTATCATCACGATGTTTTCCCTTCACCGAAAAGCTATAGTAAATTTCAAATTAAATTTCGTATACAAATTCCGAGAAACTCAGTTTGAGGTCGAACCCACGACATCTAATTGAGAGGTGATAGGTCAAACCATTAGGCTACCACGGCTTCTGTACTATTAACCTAAACATATATTTATTGTCTATAGTACCAGCGTAATCGTGACCGTGATCGAATCGGAAATGAGGAGATCTGTAGAAGAACGAAAGTCACCGACATATATCAAAGGATTAGCAAGTTGAAGCAGGGCAGAAAGGTTCTCGAATGGAGATCACGAACTGGAAGGCGTTTAGTGGGACAGCTTCCTACTAGATACACGGATGACCTGATAAGGGCGGCGGGTAACGGAGGGATGCATGTCGCGTGCGACTGTTCAGGAGTGGACGTCTTCCGGCTAATATGATGATGATAGTAGTACAAGCTATATTACAGTTAAACTTTGAACGTTTTGTGAAACGTGCAATTGTGAAAGAGTTCGCCCAGGGAAGTACTGCCAGCTTCCCTATTTCTGCCGCCAAGCAATAATATGAGATTCGAAGAGCGCTGGTGAAACTACACGCAGTGCCACTCAGGTCTTTGCGTTTTAAAGATCTGAGTGCCAGTACAAGTTACACCTACGACTTGTTTGTCCCGTCACTTGATAATCATAAAAAAACGTTGGTAATGTAACTCACCGGTCCTCAAGGCCTATCTGGTTGGTGGCAACACAAGTGTACCGGCCGTGATGCGCGTATGAAACGTTTTGAAGCTGCAGCTGTGGGGTCGACGATATCGGGTAGCCGTCTTCGGGAATCACATTTATGTAAGCGCCGGGAGTCGGACTGGAATATTAAAATGATAAATAATAACTACAAAGACACTGCTTTTTAGGTTGTGAATAGATCAGTGTAAAATAAGAGTATTTTTATTTATTTATTACCGTCTTAGTTAAAAAAACACATTTTTTAAGGTTCAATATGACTCAAAATTTCAATACACTTTTTTCCCCCATTTTCGGAATGTCAATTTGAATAATTTTTTTACGAAATGTTTTTCCCATGTTTGAAAAAAAAAAAACCACTACAATAACATACCTAGTTGTGCCGCTTTTAGAACTGTTCCCACTTACAAAAGTTTGCTAAGTGTAGAACCAATTCGAACGTCATATTTTGAATTACTAATTGAAACAATATAATCCTATTTTCAGTAAAAAATTTCGAGGTTATGTAGTCTTACATACAAGTACACTTACTTATGGTACCACTGGTAAGACGGTTTTGGGTTTCCATCAGCCTTGCACTCCAAAGTGACTTGCGAGAACAGGTTTGCTTCAACCACGGTGTCGGGTCCTACCCAGGTCACTCGAGGTGGATCTGTAAAGGCCCAACGTAGTTTCATGAGAATTGGCAAATTAACAGAGACAATGCATACAATCCAAGCAATTATTTATAATGACGTGCCAGATAACCACGTCTGTTATCTGGTGGCGAACTAGTAAATTTCCTGTACTACGAATACCAGAGTAATGGAATTCACGCCGGGGTACTATGCAGAATTTCCAGATCAGAATAAATTTATAAAAGTTTAAACGGTTTGCACTATGCTGCGGTTATTGGTGACCGAGATTATCAAATTTTATGTGATTGAAATAGGAAACATACTTAATACTTGTAAGTAAGGATTTCTTAACTGACTACAAAAAAGGAGGTTCTCAATTCGACTGTTGTTTTTTTGTGTATGCTACGCGATTTGATGATTCTTTTTTGTTGGAAAGAGGGTACCTCAGTATTAATCCCATTTAAATTTGAAGAAAATAATCCAACTCTAAGAGTGGCAAACTAGGAGATGAATCCGGTTTCGCACATTTTCCGATGACCTATTTCAATAAAACTTGGCAAATACAATATATATATATATATACAAGGCAATACTTTCCACAAACTTTTGAGGTCGATTTGTTTTTATAAAAAATGTTATAATTATTTAAATATTGCATTATCTCCTTAATTATTAATTACGACATCGACATCAGGTTGGATTCCCGGTATCATATTTGTAAAAAGTTATTATAAATAATAAATGTAACCAAATACTCGTTCGTATCTATTTTCAATAGACAAACTCGGTGCATAACGGTTTGCACTGTGGTGATAGGAATAATTTCGAAATTAACTTTTCTAAATGGGTTCTGGTCTGGGTGTTCTCAAATATCCCAGAGTCAATTCCGTTATTCTGGTACCTACTCATGGTACAGGGAATTTCCTAGTTTGAGCCCAGGCAATTGGTCAGTTGTCTAGTACATTATTATTATTTAACTTACATTTTACGTCTATTTCCACTTTGACAGAATCTGAAGTTCCCAGAGAATTCCTTGCCTGACAGCCGTAGATTCCTGTAAAACAAGATAAATTATCAATTTATTAATAGCATAGCTCAAATGTTATTCAAAATCTAGAAAATTTTAAAATCGTTTCGCTCGAATATATTTTAATAACTTGCTAAACCTCTGTTTGTAATTCCGTTGAGACTCCACTGAAACTGTATTGCAATCATGATAATATTTGTTATTCTGTTAAAATCCTCAATGGAATAGTGTCAGTGGTATCGTAGTAATGGCATTCATTCAGTCATTCACTAACGATCGGTGTTGCCTTACCAAAACTACCGTGGAAATTACCTTGCATATCTTAATTTTTATCTCGTTTAATCAGACATTTAGTCGTGAACTTAATATATATATATATATATATAGGTCTCAGGGTATTAAAAAGTTCTGAGTGGCACTGCAACTGTTATGGATATACGTGCCGCTTACCACCAGGCGCACGACGAGTTCGTCCCCGGAAAATGAACGAAAATAATATGGAAATCTTTTCGGTAATGTATGTAATCCGTTATTCTATAGAATACCTAGGTATTCTACACAATGCCTAAAACATTTAGGCAATTATGAAATAAACTCTATTGTATATTTGGTATAGGTATTCACGCACAAGGCAATGTGTACAATTTATTAAATGCATGCTCAAAGCAGTGTGATAAAAAGGGGCCTACCTCTTTTTTTTATAATATATTTTATGTACGTCTAAGCGTTACAATAATTCTAGGGTCGGCGGACAAAAGCACATAAGTCATAATCCAACATCATTAATTTAAATTAATATGTCTACCGGCTAAAGCACACAAGTCAAATTCATTTGTTACTTCATAAATTCGTAACTTTATTCTAGAGGCGTCTTTTTCTTGACCATTCTGATCACATCTTCCAACAATAAAAACAACAAAAAAATATAACTATACATACATATATATATATATATATATATATATTATATATATATGTATATATTATAATGTACGTATTAATTTTTTCACGTAAAAAAAGATTAACTTTTTTTTGAAAAGGAGTCAAGATGACATTGTCATTTTTGAACACAACGGTTTATTATTAAATTATCTAGTAGGTATTCACATTAAACTACAATTACCTGAATGGTTCTTAGCAACTGGTGCCAAAATCAATTTGGGACCATTAGTGGCGATAACCTGCCCGTCTTTGGTCCACCACACGTAAGGGCTGGGGTTGCCGTCGGCTTTGCACTCCAACGTGAGGGCACTGGAGCCCTCTTCCAAGTTCGCTAACGTGCTCGAGTCTGCACCAACTATTGTCACAACTGGGACGACTGTAAATGAAGATTACAAAATAGTTTGAGAACCAATTATGTTGTGCAAATGTCTGATGGAACATAAGCGCAGATCAATCAATTTTTTTATTTATATCAAACACGCCCTTGGCCTCAATCGCACTTAAAGTAGCTGACGAACCACAGACAAATTGGAACTGAACTTTTTTATGATACCAATTGGACTTTGTGAAGCAAAAAGGAACCAATCGACAAAATTATCAAAAAATTAGTTATAAATACCAAACGGTTCCTAAAATTCAACTTATAAACAAATATCTCTGGAGTTACATGACATAATAAGTTTTAAAAATAATAGAAGAGTGAGAAACACTTACCTATTTTTGCCGCAAAGCAGTAATGTCAGCATTACTGTGTTCCGATTTTGAAGGGTAAGGGTACTGGTGAAATTACAGGCACATGGGACTTGTCAACTTATGTCTTAGGGTAATGGGCGCAGTGGTAGTGCCCCTCAAATCTTTGCGATTTAAAGCTCTGAATGGCACTGCAACTGGTATGGACAGGCGTGTAGCTTACCATCAGGAGCACGACTTGTTCGTCCCGTTACCAGCAATTATCACAAAAAACACTTTTAAACTTCAAACTGCCATATCTCGAAAGTGACTGGATGTGGATTGAATTCTTTTTGTTTAACTACGTCTAATTGTCGGGACGTGCAAGTCGTGCGCCTGTTTATAGCAGTTGCAATACCACTCAGAGATTTTATCACAAAGATCTGAAGGGCGCTGCCATTGCGCCCGTCACCTTGAGACATAAGTTGACATGTCCAATGTGCCTGTAATTTCACCAGCACCCGTGTCCTTCAAAACCTGTACGCAGTAATGTGAGCATTACTGCTTGGAGGCAGAAAATATGGTGGCAGTAGGTACTGCCGTGCTGCCGTCCACTAAGTAAAACGCGGCTTGGTGACAAATGGTCAAATATCCGATTTAAAAAGCAAAAAATAGAGCACAAATTTTTTTCTTTTAAAAACAGACAAAATTAGTTAACTTCTTCGACTTATCGACTTATACTTAACCTAACGATGCATAGCTGGGTTATGTTTTTTTATAATATCTCAAAAAATTATTTTGTCACTTGTTATTCTTTCACGAGGAGTTCTTACTGATATTAGAATACAATGGGTACTTACAAGTGACATCAAGCATCGTATAGGAATCTCGGTAATAAGGCGCAGGATACGACGGATGGTGAGCTCTGCACGCCAGTTGTCGGCCATGAGCCGATCTGGTGGCTCCTAGTTCAAGAACCGACCTAGCTGCCCACACGCGCGGTCTTTCAACTTCTGAAGAGTTCGTTTGACTCCACGCTGTGAGACGTTCTTTTTCTATAAACCAAGTGGAACATTAATAATACAATAGTACGTTGAGTATTAAGGGGGTAAAAAAGGAATTACGAACGAGACTCTATTAGACTCTAATTCGGAGTCGAAGTTTCCCTTCGCATAATCAAGTCTGCAGTCTGCGAGCATGTCATGGATAACAACCCCAAGTCCTTGCAAAAGAAGTTATATATATATATACCCAGGATGCTGCGAGAGGCCAATGAAATTAAAAAACATCGTAATTTCAACAACGAAGATGGTTTCTCCGTACCACCAGTTTGGGATCCAGTATTTTCTCTGATGAAAAATCCTAATAAGACTGCAATACTGATTAATATGTTTTAATTTATTCTGATTGCCATTATTAATTATAATTAAACATAATTTAATAAATATTCATATCGTTAAAATAAAATAATTTGTAAAACATATGTATACTACATATGTTTTACAAATTAGTAATAAGTACTACAAATCGGAATGTCCTTCGGAAAGTTTAAAAAAAAGTATTAAATTAATAACTTTTGTAACTTGAAAAGGAGGGTGGTTTGCCTTAATATTAGACATAACTGGTTGACGACTTTACCACCTCATACAACCGAGAACATGAGACTTGTAAACGCCCGAAACGTTTGTATGAAAAAACAAATAAACGCGATTTAGACCAGGAAAAAATAGTTTCATTTCCTATGTATAACAATCGCGAAAATCTAAGAACTCGGAATGGTTTATTATTTAATATGGGTCATTATTATTATTCTGTCAGATAAATGAAATCTACGTTTTAAATGTTTCTTTATGATTTAGAGAAGCAAAACCATTCTCAACAAAAGCATCACAAGTTCATTCATAATGCACCTACAATGATACAAGTCTTCTATGGCGACTTAGTTCCGAGACGTGAGAAACTGGAAACTACAGAAAACACGACAATGCAAGGCACATGATACGAGCATATAGTGTGGCAGATATGAATGAACGCGTTCAGACTTAAGCAGCAGTATTTCTAAAGAGAAAGAAAAGTTTCTTACCTAAATACCATTCAATATAAGCCGGCGGGTTCCCGTATCTCGCTTCACAAACGACTGTTGCCCTAGAGCCGGCGGGCACTGTTATGTTCTGGCCGGGCATGACGTGGGATCCATTGTAGAGAATTCGTGGAGACTGTGGTGGGACACGGACGGCGAGCGCTGCGGGAGGACTAGATAGCGCATCCTGAAAATTCATTATAATCATTTATGTCAATGTAGCAGCAGGTGCTCGGGAATCTAAAACCATATTTTAACCGACTTCAAAACAGGTGGAGGTTCTCAATTCTTTTTTTTTTTTTTGTATGTATGTTACGCGACTTTTGCTCGTTCTAACATTTTTAAAAATCATGAAGCCAATTTCAATGCGATTTATTTATATTACGATGTATTTGCCATAAACATGCAAAATGCTAGCGCTTTTTTCCCCTTAAAAGATGGGGTAAGAGACAGAGTAACCGTATTTCTTTTATATGTAATGTATACCTCGTATTCTCAAGATTCAGAGCGGGACGCCAATAAATTTATTATTGTTTTAAAAATAAAATGTTTATGAGAGTTACGAAATGTTATATATATATTAGACAACATCACATAAGTTGCTCTGACTCCAAAGTAAGTAGCTAAAGCACTTGTGTTATGGAAATCGGAAACAACGACAGTACCACAAACACTCAGACCCGGGACAATATAGAAAAGTTACTTTTCTACATTGACCCGGCCGAGGATCGAACCCGGTATCTCAGAGATGGCGACACCATGAAAACCGGTGTGCAAGCCACTCGACCATGGAGGCTGTCAAATTTGTGTTTAATTTGTGTTTATATTTAATGATTGAATATTATTTTTAAATTAAAATAAAGCACTTATCTTGTGTGGTCTGATGGGCTAGCTTTATATATTTTTAGGGATTATCAGATTTGCTTTAAAACGTGACGTTTAGATCTTAAATCTATTCCACGGCAGCCGCCGCCAACCGCGCATCTCCGCCAAAAACAATGCACGCACAGCATCCGTACAACTAAAATAACCGGGCGACAAGGCTTACATATAATTTAATGTTGTGCAGAAATAGCCCTTATCACAAGGCTGTACTCATTTACAATAAAATACCAGATGCAATAAAAGTACATATGAAACCTTTAAAGTAAACTCAACTCACTACTAATTTCAAAAAGCTGTTACTCAGTAAAAGTGTTCTTATCGGATAAAGATGTATAAATGTTCAATCTCTAATGTATAGTTTTAATATGACACAAATATAATTTGAAAATATAATTTAATCAAGTAATTTAAAAAATCCAATAACAGACTTTTGAAATTATTAGGATGGTACAAGATAGACGTGGATTTAATATAAAATTTATTTTAAAAATGTATATTACAACACTCTAACAGGGTCCATGTTTGTATAAGTTTGTATGTAGTATTCATGATGCAATAAATGAATAAATACTTGATGCTTCGCTTTCGCGTCATTATATTAAATTTATTTTCACATGTGTCCTATTTGTCAAAGCGGGACATTTTTAAGTATTCTGGGGACAGCGGGACACGAAGCTTAAAGCTATAGGTAGGCCTATTCGAAAAAGTTACATCTAAAGTAGGTATAATTCACGCCATGGTCGCGTAATCATTTCACAAAACAAAACTGAGGCTGAGAACTATTAAATAAATTAACAATAGAGCAATGAACTTGACCTGCTAATCGAACGTCGTAAGCTTGAACAGACATTGTCTTCGACCCTTCATCTTTTTAGATTTTAAATAATGTAAAACAGCTGTGAAATCGCTATTGTTATTTCTAACATTTGGATGTGTTCCTAATTTCCAGATTATTTTTTTTTATTCAAAAAGTAAGTGCGCATTTGACCTCCATCTCACCTGATGGAAAGTGACGATAAGGTCGACTATGTAGCATGCACACCTAAATAATGCATATTCACTCTCGCCCTGAAAAAGGTCAAGTTATAGCGTTCGGGGAATAAGTCCGCAGGCAGGGAATTCCACTCCCTAATCGCTCGCCATATAAATATTTAAATCGCCATAAAATATAATAATATCGCCGTAAAAAAATCCTGGGAATATCCACAAAATAGGTGTGGAACCTCAACCCACGTCTAGTTACGAAATTCGAAATTCGAAGTCAAAAAGTAGAAGACGTGGGGAATCGCATCACGGAACTAAAGTGGAGCTGGACATGGCACCGGATACGGAGACAAAATGATAGATGGAGTGGGGCGATAAGTGAGTGACGTCCAGCTCCAGCGGCAAGACGGGCAGACGACAGTGCAAGCGTCGCGGAGCGAACCTGAATGCGACTAGCGCAGGACCGTGGGGAGTGGCACAAAAACTTGAAGGCCTATACCCAGCAGTGGGTGAAGTCAGGCTGTATATGATGATAATGATGATTTCTAAACAAGTATTCACCAACTTCTAGTTCCTACCATCGATTAACAAAGGTTATTCTGTACTTACTTTGTTGGGTCATTAATTATCAAAAACATATAATTCTTTAACTCTTTTATCTAAATTCTAAATCTTTTTTTATTTGAAAATTAAAATTATAGATAAGATTTACGAGTAAAAGAATTCTCTTTGGTTGAAAGTACCAATTATATTGTTTGGAAATACCTTGAGGCGATGGTCCTTAGACTGAACGGAGGTATCTTTCGTACCTACACCTGCCTACATGGCACTATCATATACCAAATACACAAGTGTAAAATTGAAGATTTACCTAGATTTCTAATCTCTATTAGGTACTGAAGCAATAAAAAGGACATTGCCCCTAAATTTAGTCAGAAGAATCTTACTAACCAGAGTATATTTTACATAAGCTTCAAGTAGTAAATATAGAGCAGATAATACCTCCCTCCGAAATCCTGGATTTTTTCTTTGTTTTTGTTATATTTATATTTATATTTTTGATTATCCAGTCCTTAGGTTTACGCGATTGGTACACATTGGAAATGAAACTATTTCCTGGAATAACTAAATAGCGTATATTTGATTTTTTGAACAAAAAAAAATTAAAAATTAATTAAATTTCCTTTTTTTATTATTTATTTTCAAATGCGTATTTTTTTATACGACACATAGTAAATATATATAAACATTGTAATCTGTATTGAATTAAATTATTAAATCATTAACACTATGTCACGTCATGTTATTTTTATGCTTCTGTGATATCCTGTAATAGGCATTTTATAATGGTCATTGTCAAGTTTGAAATGTATACTGTTGGATGTCTTTGAAAAAATACACGCATGATTAAAAATTAAAGGTAAACAACAAGACAGCTTTATTTTTACAAAAAAACGTCTTCTAATACTCTAACAAAGTAATTGCTAGTTACTTTCATAATTCCGGGATTACAGAGGGCGCTATTATCAACTTTATGTATATTACTTTTTTTTTTATAATATCAAGTGACGGGACGAACAAGTCGTGCGCCTGATGGTAAGCTTCACGCCTGTCCATAACAGTTACAGTGCCACTCAGAGCTTTAAATCGCAAAGATTTGAGGGGCACTGCCATTGCGCCCGTCACCCTCTGACATAAGTTGACAAGACCCACGTGCCTGTAATTTCACCAGCACTCTTACCCTTCAAAACCGGAACACAGTAATGCGGACATTACTGCTTGGCGGCAGAAACAGGTAAGGTGGCAGTACTACCCTGGACGAACTCTTTCAGAAGGAGATCTACTGCTAAGAATTATTTATTTTTTATTACGTCATGGTGATGACAAAAATCTCAGTTTAGTTAACATCGAAATGTTTACCTGTACATCATAGTTGCTGGCGGTGACCTGGCATTGCCACTGGCCGTCATCCAGCTGCAGCGTGGCAGCTCTCACCCAAAGAGAACAATCACCGCCCATCGGACTGTCTTCGTTCGCCCACTCGTACTTCCCTCGGTAGATGCCCACGGGCTGTAATTGAAATATTGTTATGGTTTAAAATGCCAACGCAGTATAACAATTATAATTATGGTTGCGCAGAGACCATTGATTTTTATACGCTTTAGTATTTAATTTTAATATAGTATAAATTTTCTTTATTGTATGATACATGTACACGGTAACTATAAACAAAATATGCACAATTCCAATTGCGGCAGATGGAATATTATAAACTAGTTTCCAGTTGGTTTTCCTTCTTTGTAAAAAAGTATTTATATACCTAGACATAATTAGTAGTAGTTAGATATAATTATGCGTAGTATCTAGCAGTTTGTATCGAATAAATACCACGTATTTACATTCCACTGTGTGTTCTAGCCAATGCTCGGCAGTATTTGAGTTAATTGTAATTGTAATGCGTATTTGAAATAGAAATACATGATTTGTATGTCAAACACAACCTAAAAATGTATTTAGTAATTGGTATTTTAAATAAATGAGGTCGAAATACCGTATTACGTACTTTTTGATATTCACGTATTTTGTAATAATAATAATACCAAACGACGCCTGTCCGCAACAATTGCAGTGCTACTCAGAGCTTTCAATCGCACAGATCTGTGGGGCACTGCCACTGCGCCCGTCACCCTCTGACATAAGTTGACAAGACCCATGTGCCTGTAATTTCACCAGCACCCTTATCCTTCAAAACCGGAACACATTAATGCTGACATTACTGCTTGGCGGCAGAAAAAAAGCATTTTGTAAGAAAATTGTCTTAAAACAAACCGAGTATAATAATATCTACCATTTGGTTCAAATGAGTCGGTAACCACACCGAAAAACTGACTCACAAATTCGGTGTCAAACGATTTGCGTTGATAGCACTGGTTGAGAAGGTCCCTATTTTGCTTCCCGGTAGAACCAATTTGGGAAATTAATTTTTCTAAATTAGTTCTGGTCTTGGTGTTCTGTGTAGGGCTTTACCATGAACTTTCTGGTATCGTAGTTCAGGGAATTCCACATTACAAATTAAATTATAACGTAATGAAGAGTTTACACAACAACATACACAAAGTAGTAAGTACATCTAACAGTAGTAGAGCTTCTTGTGAAAGAGTTCGTCCAGGGAATTACGGCCATCATACCTAATTTCTGCCGCCAAATGTTTATTGCTTGCTTATATATTTCGCCTTTCTATTGAATCGAGTCGCTTAAAAATCGCGTTGAAATGAATCTATACAAAACTTGTCATCGTATACACTTAAATTGATTTTCAAAACAATAGAATCGTAATGTACATCCCTAGTAGTAAATGAGAGTCCACACGATTGCAAGCTGGGTATTGTGTGAAGTTGTCACTTTTTCGTCTAAAAAAGATTTTTTACGTCGAAGTTTCTAATAAATATGAAATTATACCAAATTCCGTATTATTTACGCGTACTTATAATGTTTCCGTCCACGATTTTGTGCAGAAGTGGGTAAAAACCCGAACGGGATGATTGGGTTTTAACCCACTGCCCACCTCTGTGATGGGCGTAGTAGCAATGCCGCAAAGATCTTTGCTAAGTCAAATAATCATTAGTTCCATAGGTAAAATTTTTACAATTAAAAACGTCATTTTTAAGCTATTACTCGTTCACTACGCTGACCTCCCTAAGTTCATTTCAAATGTGCACCCTTCAACTTCGCCGTTGGATTGCCGATCAAGTTTTTGTACATCGTTTGATTTCGGGGCAAATTGACTGCCCAGAACATATATCACAACTCCAGTTTTCGATTCCACGTCGCAACGCCAGACCAAGTAACTATGTCTTTTTAAAATCAAAAAGTTCAGAACTAACGTTGGCTACAATGCTATTTTGAACCGAGTTTGCCGAGAGTACAATAATTCTCTTAAAACATGTAAACATAGATTAACTGACTTAGATTTGTTTTCGTTGTCATTAAATAAATATAAAACTTTATTGTATAAATGGTCAGACTAAAAGTACCATAACTTTACAGTTTAATTTAGCATGTTTACTTATTGGTTTTGTTTTATCCATCAATTTGTCTTAATGTAACATACAAAAAATGCTTTTGACACGAGCTTCTGATATGTGCATGCTGTATTTGCCTATTATTGGGTTTACACTCGAGTATTTTATGTAATGTTATTGTTTGTTCATGTACAATATTGTATTTCTGTTGGCAAATCTAATAAAAAAAAAAGAACGATCAAGAAGCTTTAAGGATTGCTCTTTGTAATTGTAAGCTTTTAATGATACTGTCGGTTACCACCAGACCCACGGCATGATCGTCCCGTCATTTGGTATTATGAATAATCTAAGCACAAAGTCCTAAAATCCGACCTCAAAAGCCATTCATCCCCAAGTTTGCGACAATTTTTTGCGAAAATTAAAATGATGGTTTCATTACTGAGGTACCCTCTTTCCAACAAAAAAAAGAATAATCAAAATCCACTAGGTTCCATCAGGTTCACAAATGCCGTTGTCGCGTATCGTACATATCTACAAAAAAAAACACATCAAATTGAGAACCTCCTCCTTTTTTAAAGTCGGTTAAAAATGTATTTATACGTAGTTACTAAGTACGCGCAATTAAAAGCAAATAAAAACTAATACGGACTAGACCATTCCCTATGAAAGAAGTTAACCGTAGGAGTACCAAAGGCAAATTCCTTAACGGTATGGAAATGACCTATTGCTTTATTGTTGTTGTTTAGTATATCATTCCGTTCGACACTGTCGATTAATGGTACCTTCAAACGCTTTTTAATACGTACCCAATAGAAATGTTCTCTAGTGATGCATTGGTTCAACCTTTGCAATGAATATTAAACAAAAAATCAATGTATGGTACAATCAATCATTGACTTCAAAATTTCAACCATAACGTTCGATCGTGACCGTTGATTAGCAATTTTATAAAACGTTCATATTAAAATGGACCCTAAAATTAAAAGGTACCCAACAGCGACTCAATCAAATCAAGGGTAATTATTCTTAAAATATTCGCAAAGCTTTATTTTTTAATAATATCGATGCCCATATGAAAACTTCAAACAAAAAGACCGCCAGATTGAATGGGGACTGCCAATCAAGCGTGATATCAAAAGAATGAATAGTAGAATTTGAAAAGAACAGGAAGTCGGTTACCCAGTTCACTTCATATTAATATAGGGACATGAATCAGGGCGTTTTGTCCCATCGATAGACCCCTTATAATGGCAAAGAGCGTTCAGCCCTAAAACTTCGGTTGACAGGAATTAGTGCCACTTTGATCGCGGTACGGTTGAGAATTTTGACAGGCTTAAGACCCCTAGCACGATTGAAGGACATGCAGTTCTATTTAAACATAAATTTAGTATTCATGTCTGCGATTTATTTTGATTAAATAATTTCGTAATTAAACTCCACAAACAAAGACAACATCAAACACGTTCCACGATCCCAAAGTAATTAACTAAAGCAGTGTTATGGAAATCGGAAACATTACCACGAACACTCAGATCCGAGACAATATGGAAAAGTTACTTTTGCTACATTGAATCGACCGGGGTTGCAACCCGGAACCTCAGAGATGGCGACACCGTGAAAACTGGTGTGCAAGTTATTCGAAAAGGTGGTTGTTTAATTAGTTTCTATACAGAACGTATTACTTATTTATTGAGACATCGATGGCCCAATGATTTACATTATGGGCGTTGGATAAGGAGGTCTTGGGTTTGATTCCCGTCTGTCTGGCTGTTGATCCAGGGAAGTACTGCCACCTTACCTGTTTCTGCCGCCAATTGTGTTGGTGAAATTACAGGCATATGGGATTTTTCAACTTATGTCTCAGGTGAAGGGCGCAGAGATGGTGCACCTCAGATCTTTGCGATTTAAAGGTCCGAGTGGCAGTGCAACTGTTATGGACATGCGTGTCGCTTACCATCAGGCGCATGACTTGTTCGTCCCATCACTTAGTATCATAAAAAAAAATTTAAAAATGTAGGTAGCGTTCCGGAGTAAACTTACTCTAGTACTCATAGTACAGGCAATTCCCTTATTTGAGACCAGGCGATTGATGTGGTTTTATGGCACATAACACTCCAACACAGTTTATTCAGCACTTGCTGGTGTGCTAGTGAAGATCTGATGCGGTCACAAATAACAGAATCAAGATGGCAACATATTATTCAAATAGTCCCGAAACAAAGACGTTACCACCAACCAACACGTTAGGAATAAGTATAACAACTGTACACACTTTGCACTCAGGTAGGTCGCCGCAGAGACAAGGGGTGTAAATGGGGGTTCAGGGAAGTCGAACCCAATGTAACTGCGGTGCCCCAACGCAATCAAGGTGGCAACATACTATTCAAAGTCAATATAAATAAAAGAAGCATTGACACGACACGAAGAAGACTGTCCACAGCGCCCAAGGTAACGCAAATACGGTAATAAGCTGCAAGATACCTACTAAGTGTTTCAACGCAGTACTCGTATTTCGAATTGAAACTATTCCAAGACATTTAAAAACGTGGATAAACGCGATGAAACAATTTAATAGCTATTTGTACACCTACCCATTATCCGTTTTGGCCAAGTTGTACTGGCCGTGGTCACGTGCTGACTTTATCCTCGTTTTGTAATGTTAGTATAACCATAAAATAATAGGACAAGTAATGTAACTTTATACAAACGTAGCAGCGCGGCTTGTATGTGTGCGCGCCCGCGCGCAGTGTACGGACGCACATATTCGCATAATCTCGGTGTGCACTCGAGTTGCATAGCGCGGGTCGTCACACGCACCATTTACAATAGAACAGAAACGTTCTCCCGGTGTTTAAAAAATGACATCATATGTATGATGTGTCAACATATGTTTATTGTCGTCTTTATGGTTATTCGAAAAAGAGTGTCTGAAATTCAGAATGGTTCAGTATGTTATTTCCATTTTATAAAATCGTACTCCCATGACCGAGTTATCAATCCGCGATCCTGGTATAAAATTATCTTTTTTTTTATAGTATTAAATGACGA